CGTCTTCGTGAGGGATGACTCAAATGTTGGGAGAATTTTGCTTCCTCAACAGTTGTAACCCTTTTCTTTGCATTCGCCCTCCCGCTGTTAATTCCGTATATATGATTTTCTACCCTCCGAAGAAGACTCACCATCTGATATACAAAATGCACATGACCACAGGCTATTCGATAAAGGGGATAAACTTCACAATTTAACTGAAAAGTCTCTCAAAGTCTTCATTACATTTGCTCCTCTCTTCATGCTGTTTTCGACTTTTTTTCTATGCCCTTTCAGTGAACTGAAAATGTATGGAAATCACACTGGAAAGCGTGATCAAGGCAAAACCTTGGGTGGCAATTGAAAAAAAAAAAGAACAATCGAGCATACTTCCCACCCTCTTTGACCCATCAAAGAGTGTGGAAACGAGCCATAAGCAATGTTGTCATGTCGCGAGTAATTTCTGATAGTTTTTCCTCCGTGCGCTGTGATAAAACATTAATGCATTCAGGGATATTTTCTAATACCATTTTCCGTGGACGAGAGAGTGCATATGAGCTGAGGAGGGCGGGCGCGAAATCAATATCACGAGGGAAGAGATTAGATGGTGATAAGAAAAGTATAGTGTCGCCGACGCCACGAAAGCTCTTTGTTTGTGCATTGGGGCACCTTTTTGTGCGCCCCTCGCGCCATTTGCGGGGGTGGGAAGATGCAGAGGGAGCGAATGGATACACCGTACAGGAATTAATATGCAGATAATTGTAGACAAGGCATTATTGTTTGTTGCTTCTACACGGACAGAATTGGCGGCTTAATTCTCTTCACCGGAATTATAATCTCATATGATTCCACATTTGTCTCTGCACGCAACACGACTCATGTTTTTCCCTGTGCGCTATTGGCGCGCTGTGGAAGGCCACAAGAAGCCCATATTGTGAATGCAATATTTCATTATATTGGGGCGAACACACACTTTATCTTGATGGCAGGGAAAATTGATTATCAGCAGAAAGTGGATGAATAACAAAAACAGGTGGTAAATATCGTAATATACTTACAATTCTAAGACTGTGTCCAAATAGTTGAGGCCTATGTTGAGTACGAAGGTGTATTTACTGAAAGAATAAGAGAAATCTTCACTGAATCACTGGGATAAAATCACTTTTCTAAACTACACGAAGCGCAATTGCACTCCACATTCGTCAAAGGCGAACAATCAAATGAGAGAATTTCTCCTAATCGTCAGCCTTTGGCAACAAAAAACCAACATTTTTTCCCTCTCATCACTCTTTTCAAGGCCGATAAAAGGCACTTTGAGCGTCGATCTTGTGGCTCTCTTTCTCAACCTTCTTCACACACCGACTCGTTTCACTGTCCGACAGTCTTTTTTTTCCTGTGTGCCGTTAGGAGACTCTTGGCCCAAACTCGAGACAAACACACCGACGAGATGAGTGAGAATTTTTCGACAAGGCGAATATTCCACAGAGAAGACCGAAACTATGAACCTCATTATCGATTCTTACATTGATTCTCAAGGGGAGAACAAGGCTTAGAAAAATAGATTTCAACATACATGAGCATTTTGGATGAACTCCGGAGAAATGTGAAAAGATAAGAGACTCAAATACAAGTTTTCACAGATTTCTTAAACAGTTAGCAATTTGATTCTTTTTGCACAGTGCCGACAAACAAAATGAAGCGCAGTGAATTTTTGCAAGGGGGAAATAATACAGTCAGAAGAGGTGTAACAGTTGAACGGGAGTTTAAGGAAGTGAAAGTGTTCAAATACTCACAATATTTCATTCCTAACTTCTTCTTTTACTGCAAACTTATTCTGAATCATTGGATTTCTTTTGATTTTTACGCAGCAATCGTAAATGGTCATTAAAAATACCCAAAAAAGTGGTTCTATTTGAGGCATAATATCTCCCCCTTGAATTGATGTACATTATACAATAAATTTTATTTATGAAAACATTGTTTGTTTTATTGAGTAAATATCATTACGCTTCTCTGTCAGATTTTTTTTAAGAAGACAAGAAATAGTTAATAAAGAATGTTTCCACGCCGGACAATGGAGAAAATGTATTTTATTTCTCGATAAGTCTTCTTTAACTCCCTCAATTGGCTGACTTGTAAACCGCTACACATTAATTTTACAGTGATTCTGCAGGACCCATTGTTAAAGTTACAGCGCAAAGTTCCACAGCACAAAGGCTATCTTACTACTGTGTCGCATCGATGCTTGTCCTTTAAAGGCCGACGATAGACTTCAGGTTCAACATCCTGTTCTCTCGTGCTTCACTGCCACTCTGACGCACTCATCAGCATCTGAGGACGGCCAGGCGAGTATCCTTCTATGAGTGCAGCGACACGCAGTCCGGAGAAGTAATTATAATGCGTTACTGTCACTCGCCACAGCCAATATCTCCCGCCTCATTAGCTACGGTGCAAATTGCGGGGCGCACAAACGGAGGGTGGAAAATCCTTTGATGTCCACTTAAGAGAGTGTCGAAGAATGCTCAAGTTATTTCCGAAACGCACCGCGCGTCAGGGTGTGACCATCGCGGGAAAGGTGAGATTAGATTACATTTTTGTGGGGGAAGAGATTTTTGCGGGGGTGAAGCATCGAGTCCATCTGATTTGGCCCACGATCGCCTTCTCCGCCACACTCAATTTCCACCCCTCGAGCGATACAATCTGGCTGGGCATTTTTACGAGGATGACACACATTTTCCCCACACCGCCCGAAGTGCGCGCACAAATAACTGTGACACTTTCCCAATCAACATAATTCAGAGTGTTACAATTTAAAATCGATTTCCTTTTGCACATTTTCACACTCTCCCCATTTTCTAATTTATTGTCCATCATATCTAAATATAGTGGCCACAGGGGCGACCATTTGACCCTCCTGTGCCGCCAATTCTCAGCATTCTCCGGGCACACAACAAAGACAATTTTCACATTCGATCGCCCACCCTTTTGGCCATCCACACCACATGGACGACCCCGCGCGGAAATAAAATTGGAAAACATTATTATTTGGGTAATTGTGTCAAAAATATATTTCTCCATCCCGCAATTTGATGTGTGCGCTCTTTCCCGAGGGGCGCCTGAGCCTTTCCACGTGAAGTGGAAAATATGTTGCTGAGCTGGCATAAAAGTGAGCACAATAAAAGAGCAAGAAAGTTTTCTAATCAAATTTCCTCCGCAATTCACGCGCAGTTGATGTATTTATAAACTGTTTATGTGTATGACATGGATACTTTTGCCATCTTTAATGGCATTTCTTTTCACGAGGGATGTTGCTGAAACACATGCACGACGCACTTCTTCCATCTCGGTACATTAAGCTTCCCACCGAGGCTGATGAGAGCGCGAAAATTTCACCACGAAACTCCGCACACAGTCATGATTTCCAGCACATCTTTCCCAACATTTCACCCCCGAAATCCAACTGTGAAAACTCAGGCGGAGGAAAATTTCGCATGGGCATAAATTCACGTACATCAACGAACTGAGATGCGAACAATGCGCCGAAGAATAAAAATTTTATTCTCCCTCATATCCAATTGTGTACTTTCTGCCATGATGGACCAACACTTTTTTGCCACCACAAAAACTTTAGATCTTGCGGGAAGCATATTGCTGCCAATAAATATTACGAGGTGCCTCAGCAATATAAGGCGATTGATGTGGTGTTTGAATGTAACGAGTCGTAAAACATTAAATACGCGCCTAAAGCGAAATGATGAGGAAAATTAAGTGTGGCTGCTATTCTTTTTAACCACCCTCGCAAAAGTGAGATTTCTTGATCTTCCCCGCCATAAAAGCACGCGTGTGTAAAACGCCCCACGAGCGCCAAGGGTGAGCGAACGTGGTGGGTTGTATGAGAAATAAATTGGGAATGTTTTTTGCCTTGAACGTGCAATTTATTTGTTTATTTCATTTCACCACCGCATCGTGTCTTCTCTCCCATCTCGACATTCGCGGTGCGCGCGGGAAAAGTTTCTCTGCCGCGGGGGCGCGATTTGTGCGCGAAACTTGGCATGCAATTGCACTTTCTTGAGCCGCCACACGGGCAAGGCGAAAATGCCTTTTCCTAATGTGAAAATTGCACACGCTTGCAATTAAAATGCACCTCAAGCGCCGCCTTATGTGTGCATTGCACAAAACATCACCCCCAATTATTTAGATAATTTCACGCCATTACACCGCATTCTGCACATTTCTCACACGGCTATTCTTCAGGTGGTGCCTCGAAGGGGCTGCTTTTCGCCTAGCAACACTCCCAGCAGGATTTATAGGGACAGACGTTTTAATTTGCAAAAATATGCTCAAAGTGTGGCAATTCTGTGCGTTTCTTCTGCACAGAATGCAATTCCATCAAGAGAAAAAATAAAGCTCAATAATCCACAAAATCCAACAATTAATTTACCTCATTGCAGCGAACTGAATATTCTCCATAAGTCAGATAATATGGCTTAACTTCGAGCTCAGCCACTTTCTGTCACTTCCGGACTTAATATTGTGTCTTATTCCCAGAACTGCTCGAATCTGTAGTTGTTTCTTGATGCCATAAGAAACCACTTCACAACCAACTGACAACTTCATCCAAGCCTTTATCACTCAAATTACCAGAAGAAATGTTTGCAGATTTAGTGAAAATACCAAGGAAAATACAGAATTTTGGCTCTAAACTCTGAATTCCAAGAATTTCGTGTATACTTTTCTTGTATTCTTTTCATGTTAAATGTGGCGGTAAACACAGAAAGACGCATTTAATTTAGGGGCTGCATTGAACGACTAAATAAAATTCTGTGTTTTCCTCAGAAGGATCTGTATGTAAAGCACTATTTTTGATTATTTTTGAAGATTGAATTAGCGAAAGTACCCAGAAATTCTTCACTGAATGGCGGACACTGTCTGAGTTTGAAAGAATGGCGCTAGTGGCGCAAAGGTGATTCAATGTTTCGAGTGTTCACCACAGAGTGGCGTGAGGGTTTGTTTTGATTCTCTGTGTGACGATCGCGTGGACATGTTTTATTGTGTGAATTCTTGAACAAAACCAAGTAAAATCTGGAAAATCCACCACGAAGCTGCTTTCCTCTCATTGCGCCAATTCTCCTGGCCGCCAGTGTGGGTTTTTTGGTGAGTACAAGTTTCCCACTGCCGTGACGAGGGAGTTTGTGGGATTTTTTCATGGTGTTTGCTTTGGCCTGAGAAATAAAGTTTGTGGGGCCGAGAAGATTGTCTAAGTGGAAATCGATTAAATTTCATTTTAATTCTCTCCTCATGCACTTTCGCATTTATTGCTAGTGATTTCACTTTATGGCCTTCGCCACGTTCGTCCCGATGAGAGGAAAACCCCAATTGTGAGGGTTGAGCGGCACTTAAGTAGATTCTCTTGTTGGCAAGAAAGCAGTCATGCTGTGAAAAGCGGCGTAAAAGGGCGAGAATGAATCTTGTGCAGCTTTTCAACCAAGAAGCGCCCCATTCGGGGGACTTGTCTCTTGAGGTGATTTCCTTCGCCACCACCCCCCGCGCGTGGCTGAGGGTGGAATTACTAATCGATGCGCAGAGCCTTCCATATTTGCTTTTCACGTGCCTGTGTCAATATTTCCATTACGACAAATAACTTTTCGTCGGCGAAACGGAACATATGGCGCTCGACCCATATCTAATTCTCTTATCACACATCGCGCTGAGTGTCTCTCCTCGAAATGCTCAAGGGGGTGGCGACAGGCGGCGTCGCAGCGGCTTATGGTCGCTGTAAGAGTGGTGCGCGGAGGAAAAACTGTGAGATATAATCACTTAAGTATGAATACTGAATATACAGCGCGGAAAGTGCACATGGAGGTACTACAGGCGATGATAAAATTAATATCTTGCCCCCATAAAAAAAAACGCGTCTGCCTTAATAAAATTTATTTATTGAAGCATTCACTCTGCGTACGTCAAGGGTACGAAAGTGGGGCTCAAAATCTTTGTTTGCCTTTCGATAATGTTATCAAGTGTATTTGTCAAATGAGCCGAGAGTGGGTGGCGAAGAACGGATGATTATAATAGGGAAAGGTGCGACTTATTCTCACGCGACCGCGCACATATTGCAATTTTCACAGAGCGGGAAAAGGGCTGCGCAGCGCAACAGACACGCTCCTAAGAAATGTTAATCTTTACTGAAAAGCAATTTGCTGCCCTGAAAGCATGTAATCTCCTTTGGCAATTAGTTTGTGTCCATCCGAAGCTTTTTAATGACAAGTTTACGTTTTACATTCACCCGTGATGCAATTCCCACCCGCTCGTCACCCTCGCCAGCCACCCCCTGTGGCGCCCCCGCGGCAATTTAATTGAACTTAAAACCCCGAGAAATCAATGTTTCGAATTTTGGGGAAATTTTGCTACGTCGCCGAGTGTCCAATCACACTCAGAGAAATAAATTAGTAAAATTCATACATTTTTAATACATTTTCAAGTCGTTTTAAGCATTAAAATGTGTATTGAATTTTAGTCATAACTCCTTTTCTGTCAATATTAATGGGATTTCGAAATATATTCGAAACAAAGTGATTTTTGTGCTGAATCAGACTGAAATTTAGTTTAAAATAATATGTTTTTCTGTACTCATGGGCAATAAACAAGAAAGCATATTTCTAAAAGAATTTCTATCTTCTTTTCAAATCCAAAACACTGAATTTTAAGAGCGAATTTAAAGTTTATTTACGAGTTTTTACACAAATCAAGGACTTGAATTGTCATATCTATTTGATTATTCTGGGTTTCTTTGACGAAATCGACTTAATTTAGTCCGATTTTCCTCTCAGTGCACAGAAAGCCCACAATGGAGGACCTTTATTGGTGTTTGTCTTGATCAACTTGGCACTTTTATTGGCTTTTTCTTGTCCTACAACTAATTGGGGACCAATTTGCTTGTTTCTCACACATCTTCTTGGATATTTGTTTGTTCTCAGTTTGATATACATATATAGATTTCCACCCTCGACGTCAAGAGAGCTTCGCAAGTTAATTAAGCTCTCTCGCTCGCAATTGTGCTCTTCCAAGGCGAGGTGGAAAAATCCCAGGCACAGCTCGAAGAGTTGGAAAGTTAGTACATCAGGAGTTTAATGAAGTGGATATTGGAAGTTCTCTTGAGCTCGTGAGAAGGAGAGAAAAGAGAGAGGAGGAAATCCATTCAGCCAAGTTTGCTATTAGAAAGTTCGTATTGCGCATTTAAAAGCTCGAATGGTAATCGAAAGTTCGATACACATGGAAATACTGGGGAGAACATGTGAATTTACACATTAAGCAAAATTTCAATCGTCCAAAGGGATTTTTGAGTCTTGCGACAACCATTTGAGCGGGTGAAAAGGTGTTTCTCTGTCGGATATTAAAGTGTGACGCATAACAGGTTTCTATCAAAGTGCAAACAGACTGCAAATATTAATAACTGTTCTCATATTCCATGCAATAATGTAGCAAAAATCTTTTGACTTTGATTTTGGGCTTATGAATTTTATTAATAAAATACAGGCAGATCAAAAGGGCACACACGGTGCAATCATGGGCAATTGCACACGGAACTTGCAGTGATATTTTATGGCAAAACCCACGCGGGTTTTTTTTCACGAATAATTCCATTCTCGCACTTTCATCTCGTGCCGGGCGAGTGAGCGAATTTATCATATTGCCTCGTGATTTATTGGCGATGGTCAAGTGCGATGGAGTGAATTAATGCGGGCGGCCAACTTGCTCTCCTGCACAGCCGAGAGTTGCGAGAACTTGGCAAAGTTACAATCTCTTGGGAAAGTTTTCTAAATAAGCAGCGTGGTGGGGGAGAAGCATAGCGCCGCACATGATGTAGTGCCGCTTGGAATTGGGCGGGTTCTGTGTTCCTTCTCGGCAGACCTGGGCAATTTTGAGAAGTCTTACAAGTTACCAATTGCCTATACAGCATGAAATCGATTAAATATATTTTGCTAAACTTGCCGGCCGAGGCTAAAGTCCACTGCGAGTTACCTTAAAGTTGGCCGGTGAGGAATTCGATGTGGTCAAGCGTAAATTCCACCCCAAATGCAGCGATATTGCCATCCTTGGGGCGATAAAAGTAAATTTTACCTACACACCCTTTAAGCTGCAGCTTCCCATTTTAATTATTTCCACGGCTTTGCTCTCCTGATATGCCGAAGATTCAAACAAGTTGCCGAGAAGACGTTCAATTGCCCAAAATCTACCCCTTTTCTCCCAGATTAAAAGTGTAACGAATTGTCCGTCTTTAATCAGTGCTCAGGATTAAATTCATGCGATGACCATTTCTCCCCCGGCTCAATGACAAGTCCACAAAGTCAGAGGATTGCCGTGAAATCCCTCGGTTGACTCCTAAATTTGTGGGGAAGAGTATTAGAGAATTGAGAAGAGGAAATTGATCTTTGATGCTGTATTAAAAATCGTCAAGCGCAAATCTCCATTTAAGTTTATTTTATGATAATTTCTTCTTCTTTCTTCTTGTGATTCCTTAAAAGAAAATTAATTCATATTGTCTGCAATCGAACACTTGATTTTCTTTTTGCTGTCAATTGGCATCAATAAGTGCTCAAGTGTTTTTCACCCCTATTGTGAATTGGCAAATTTCTCAATATTCTTACCAACAGATGAATGAGAGCAATTCAATTAACTCCAATGAGATTATCGGGTGTTGTGCAAAAGCTAATAGGAATCAGTGTGGAGTGACATCTGTTGGTGGTTAGGGGACTCCTTCGTCTTTGGAGGGAAAATTTTATTTCACCTCACCAACACATGTTCACAAAAAATCACCCTCTTGAGAGCAACTGCGTTGCCACCCTGTGCCGATAGCTCGGCAAAAGAGACGGCCTGAGCGGCAGGGAGCTGACAAAGGGCGTCAGCCGAAGAAGGACGACCGCTTGTGGACGGGGGTTGGTCGGAAAAAGGCAGCTTCTCCGGCGAGATAAGGGGTGGAATGCGGAGGGTTGGCGTGTGGGTCGATAACGTAGGGTGGACTCGCAATTCGGCAGAGAGATGTGCCCATTTTATAAAATATTTGGCTTCGGAATTGGAGAACGCATCATTCCGTCTGAGCGCCATGCATTGGCGTCCTGGTTGTATGGTATAGTGTCGTACATAATGGATTGACGAGCCGACAGAGGCGCTTCCTGTGGCAAATAATCCATTTTGAATGGGGGATTCCTTCTCTCAACACCGCAAAATGCACCAAAACTGCGTCTTCATCCATCAAATCATCTGGCTTTTAGTGCACAATCCTGCACTCAAAGGGCAAATATTTGAGCAGAGCCTTTTAACAATGCAGAATTGAAGCGATTTTCAGAAGGTATTTGAATTTGTGGTAAGATTGCTGAAGTATGCTTAAAGGCATCGAAAGCGGCCCTGGCTTTTCCGTGGTCCGCGCTGTAAATTTATGTGACCATCCTGGAATCGTTTCCATGTTTAAAACTCCAACGCATACATGCTCCAAAATGCAAATGCACCAAAAATGCAAGTTGCATATAACGCACAAATGCAATGGCGCTGGTGCTTTTCCTGCAGCGAGGATGTGGAGAGATATAAAATGTGCAGCCACTGGTCTTTGGGGCGGCCGAGGGACGCTCGGGTGTGCGGATGGAGGATTTATAAAATGGGAAAATGCAAAAAGAGGCGCACTCCGATGCAATTGCATCGTGGAGAGCCCAAAAACAGACAGACTGATGGAAAATAGGTGTACGCGACGCCCGCGGGGGGTGAGTTGCGGAGCTGGGGTTATCGTGCACGTTTTTGTGCACAAAATGCCATCCATCCAGCCTGGGAGCCTGTTTGTGACATCCAATCGACTTGAAAAGGGTGAATCAATACCCGGATATAGAGGCTCACACCCACACACACACCCCACCGACGCCCCCCATCTGCATCCCCCACAAGTGCAAATCTCTCCCCGCGATGCACTTTAATTTTCACCAACTATATCGCAACTAGTTCGCGCTCCAATCTCTCTAATCATCATAAAAAAAAGCCAGAACGATGTATTTTTCACGAAGGATGAAGTAAAAATGTGCATTGCATTCGTAAGAGCTTAAGTAATGGTCTTCTTTGAGTTGTTAAATTTGGGACGCTCAAAGGACTTGGAAACGTGAAAAATACCCCTA